GTGCTGTGGAAAAGGTTAACTGGTTAGATACTGCCGCTGATACCTTTCCAAGTATTTATTGCAATGCCTACCTGTTCTGCGCCATGTTTTGCCAATTACCTATCAAAGCAAATGATTTACCTATGCAGTGCCTCATTACCTTCAGCAGATCTATAGCCGGCGGAAGTGGCTGTGTCCGACCGGTCAGCCGGCTAACTGACGCTAACCGGGTTCCAACTGGGGGTGACCGAGTTAGCCGAGTTACGAGTTATATCGAATTGGACAGCGCCCTCTCAGCTGCAGCCCCGATGGTAACAGCCGAAATGGACCATTGAACTCGTCATCAGTGAATGTATCCCGCTTGGCGCTTTCGGCATGAATTGTTGTGCAGGGTCAGGACGAGGAATTGGTAGCTTGGACTTCAGAGTATCAATACATACGTGTGAGCTGACGTAATGTTCACCGTTAAAGGGACCCTCCCACCTTAACATTAGATTTGAGTTGAGATAGCCAAAATGGGGTCCCTGGCTCACAATTACCGGTTTCGGCACTCACAACATCGAGAAATGCCTTAAATCGGAAATATTGAATTTCAAAATTGCAACATTTTGATTCAGAGGGGCTTATGCATAGGAATACCCCTCTGAATGTGTGACGTCAGCGCAGATATCTAACGATTTTTAAATGTTTGACTAAAACGTTTGGTAGCACGCGGTGGTATATGCTGCTAAGCGCGCAACATATGCCGCACTTTCAAATAAAGTCACTAGGAACAGCGGAGATCCCAAAAAGTAAACAAAAGTAAAAGTCTAATATCTTGAAAACCGGTGAAGATTTTTCGATGAAATTTGGTAGATATTCGTTTTTGCTCTTGCTGAACCGAGCGACATCACTTTCATGTCAATTCATTAACTTTTTTGAAGGTGGGAGGGTCCCTTTAAGTGTTTTGGATATAAGTAGGTTTTGTCGAATGGACCGCTCCTGTTTCACGCCCCTGCTGATATCGGAGTCATATGTAGTGGCTCGGGCGGGTCTCAGTTTGGTAAATCTGGTCTCATTCTCCACATCTCTGTCCGTCCTGGCGGCGCGCAGGCCGGGCGGGGCCAGCTGATTGAGTCATCAGGCGGGCCGCGGCGGGGGGCGGGCGGCCGGGGCGCCGGCGACTGGCGCCCCCCGCCGGCTCCGGCGGGAGGCCGGCGGCGCCCCGGCGCGCGCCGCGGGGCGCCGCGCCGCCCGGTCCGGGCGCCCCCCGGGGAGCGGCGCCCGGGCGCCCACGGGCGGCCGCGCCGCTCCGGATTAATAATCCGGCGTCGGCGGCGTCTCGGCGGGCCGGAGAGGACGAACGGACAGCTGCGGCGCCACTCCGTCTGCCCTCCCCGCCGACCGGCTGACCGGTACTGCCCTGTAACTGGGGCGGTAACGGAGCGCGGCGGCATTCTCCGTGTCCCAGGTATTTGGTAACCCGACACAAATATGTCGATACCTTCAAATGAGTTGATCTCGCCATTTTGGCCGTAGTAAAGCTGGACGAGCGTAAATGCGCTCGATATAATTGCTTGATGTATTTACTGCTAAATTTGTTATGGTTATCAAAAATAAGCCATCGCAGCTTATTATTGAAGATGCCAGGCCATCTTTGTAACGCGGTCAATTGTCAAATCATGTTCAGGAAAATAAAGTACAATTACTATCCCGTTCTATCCCGCCCCTGTCCCTTACCACTCCGATTTTCCGGTCGCACAGTCGCTGGCTTCCGTGTTTCGGATGTCAATGATCGTTACTCCCGATGAGGCCGCCCCTCGCCCCCGATGAGCCCCGGGGTGAGCCCTTTACTGGGGTAACCTTCAGGGAGGCTGTCCGCGGATGGCTGACCATAAAATCACTACCGTTACATACCGCTGGGCAGCTGTTGGCTTAGGCGTTTGGCCTACTTCTACCGTTTTCTTATCTCCAGTGGTGCTGCATTGGCTTGTTGGACCAAATGAGCACTTCCCACTAAATGAAGCCATAGCGGGAAAGTCTGTGACAGTTTGAGCCTGGGGACGGGTGTGGGAACGAGGAGAGAAGGGGTGTGGCGCGGGCAGATTTCTGCCGTAACCTCTGGCCCGGCGGAGGCGCGGTCCCGGACGGGGCGCCTCATGCATAATGCACCTCCCGCGCTCTGCCCAGCTCTCCGTGCTCTGTCCTCTCTGTGCTCTCCCCACCCCCTGCTGAAGCGGCCGCCTTCCGGTGCCCGGGTCCAGCTGGGCTCCGTGCCTGCATCCGTGATTCCGTAGGCCCCAGGCGGAATTCTAACGGGGCTGAAGGCAGTGTTGGCGGTAAGCATGGTCCATGTAATGATATTGATTCTTGACCTGACGCCGTTATTATGAAATAAAATCCGAGCCAGCTTCGAATTTGGAGTTTTATTCCTAATTCTGATCTGCCCTGTGCTTACAATTTGAAAATGGGCGTTGAGCTTAACCCGCGCCCCGCTGGGCTATTCAGCCATACGCGCCCTGCTGGGGGGGGGGGGCAGATTCTGCCCCCCGTCTAACTTCCGAACCGGTGGTGGTAGAAAGACGGGGAAAACGGCAATCGAAAGCTCTCAACAAAGCGGATCTTAAGAGCCCAAATTTTTTGGTTAAGTAGGTCAGAGGTCAGGTCAAGGTCAGGTCAAGGGTACAAAATGCAAGTTTCTACAGTATCGGCCTTGCACCGTAGTTGCCGAAGAATGGACTGAGTTGATTGCCCAAAACGTGTTCTTAGACTACCAAGACAATATTCGTTGCATACAATGTCATTCAAAGGTCAAGGTCAAGGTCAGGTCAGGTCAGGTCACCAAAAACAAAATATAGAAAAGGGCATGTGCGACACATGTTTTATGGGTCATTTTACTCATAGAATTCAATAGACACACTCAATTAGTGATATGGACCACCTCTGGATATGGACCACCTCTGGATGAATTTCAGGTCGAGGTCAGGTCCAGGTCAGGTCAAGTGAGGTCAAATTTTGAAGTTGGTTGTTTAGGCCTAAAAAGGTATCTATCTGATGCAGTTTGTCACGGCAAATCGAATGGTGCTATTTTTGTTTCCGTACGAGGTCTAGAACTTCCAAAAAAAATCATTTTTTTTTTCAAAATTTTTGTGTGTCGTGACGTCATAAAATTTTGAATAACTCCCACATTTTTGAACCGATTCTTTTAAAAATTGGTATGTAGGTGCACATAGACCACTTCTCTGACATATATTCCGGTTTTTTCGATACACTCAAAATTTTGGATTTTATGATTATTTTCCCAAAAAAGTCAGTTTTTTGAAATAATTTGGGCCAAAATCCAAAATTTTCAAAAATCCGAGATAGTCATTTGATAGACAAAGAAGAATCACGTATAACCTTTTTTGTGACGTCTTGATTCCTTTAAAAATGAAGATGTTAGCGGCGTTTGAAATTTTGCCGTTTTTGAGGCGAAAATGGCGAACATGACGTCACTAAAACGTCAATTTCTCAAAAAAAAATCCGATGGATTTCGCTCAAATTTTCAGGGAACGTGTCAAATTGATGTATGATAAGGTACTGAAAGTTTGACGTCGCTGGCGTAACGCGTTTAGAAGTTATTGGCGAAAAACGGGAGGGGGGCAGATTCTGCCCCCCCCCCTCAGCGGGGCGCGGGTTATAACACAATACCAAAACTCGGAAAATATTGAAAGGTCCTCGGGTAGGGTGGCTTCCAAATATGAAAAACTAAGTGAGTATTTCACGATCCATTCCAAGAATATGAACGCATTTTCAGAGGCATCTTATAATTCATCTACACTCTACAGCATCGGGTCCGATTATGCAGACCGAGTGTTTCTTTAACTCCGATTTCTAAGGCGACTTAATTCCATCATCTGCCTCTGGTGCCCGTTGATGTGACTTTATAATGTTGTGGAAGGTGAGGGAACCTGGAGCATCAACCAGGGATTTTCTCGAGGGACATACGAAACTCGGGGACTCAGGCCGACGAACAGTCTGTGCAAAACTGGGAAAGTTGAAATGTTCTTGAATATATACGAGCGGTAATGGGGAACAGGGCGAGACGGCTGGTCATAAACACTAGTGAGACCAGAACTGCAGACAAATTTCCGCAGTGTTGGTGTTGTATAGTCTGTGCAGCTATGCCGAGCTCTTCCGCTGAAATCCCAAGTTTAGCTGTTATAAAGGAAAGTGTCTGCATGTGAGACGTCTTGAGGTCGTTCGATGGTCACAGAGGCTTCTGGTTCTGGGACTGTAGAGTACTGGTGCTGGGCCTTAACATTGTGGCGTGCACATACCTGCTTACAAGTGTTACAGCTGTTGGTATTTATCTGCTTCTGGTCTCGCTAGGCAAGGTGTTATTTTATGAAATGCAGGCAAAATGTCATGCCATTTTTGGTGTAATGAGCGTGATCAGGATCTTTTTCAGCTCCTGATTACTTTTTGATATATTCCATATTTGCATTTTAAAGCTGACAAACCTGTCATCGAGCTAAATGAATGATTATTTGGCTCAGGCGTTCTTTATTTCAGGCAGCTCGGCATTATGCGCCGAATGTAAGAGCCTAGCCTGTCTCGGTACATCACATCGTAGCCGCCCACGGCCATATTCTCCTTTTTTTCCGTCGGAGGAGAAAAACGAAACTTGATATAAGCTCTATTCATGATCATTTCATTGCGCTATGCGCTGAGTGCCTTTTCTCCGTGTGATCCCGGGACTGTGGTATCGGCCGCTAGGTGGCGGTGTAATGACGCCAGCCGCCGCCAGGTGTCAGGCCAGGTCTGACGGACGGGGTAATCCACCGTCCAGCGGAATGGGAGGCTGTGCAGCAGGTATTTATTAATTCCTTGGTTCAAATCCTTCGACATCAGAACATCCGTAGATTTTATTTTTTTATGACGTGCAAACTTTTTGAGTGCTCACTCACGACTAGATTTCAGCATTCCCTTCCCCTTTTACCGTTGCCCTAGTTCAGATGACGCCGAGTCTGTCTTTTCTCACAGTATTTGTTCTTTTTCAGGTGTGAACGCAGTCAGCTGCCGGTGGTGCTGTCAGCAGTTGGTATCTGCCGACGAGGTCTCCCAACATCTGACCTCAGAATGTCCCGGGCCAGGATCAGACGGTAAGTCGGCGCTCAGCGAATATTCACTGTCATATGGAGACATGGTGAGCAATCAACTTGTCTGCTGTAATAGCTAATTTCCACACCTAATTAGCATTGCTTTTATTTATCTGACCTTTAAAAGACTTTTGGAGTTTGCAACTTTTGCAATTGGCGCAATATATTCCGCCAACTTTTGCGATGAGGCTCCACGTTCGTCTTTTTTGAGCCAGTGGTCCCCGAGGAGTACTTGTTGCACCTCTAGATGGGCCAGTGCGCAGTGTATTCGCCACAAAGTGCTCGCGCTGGTCATAATATTCGCCGGAATGGCCTCGGTGCCGGCGTCCCCCGGGTGTCGGCCGGGGCGCCGGGGCGCAGTGTGCGCGCGCGCCGGCCGCCGGGGCGCAGTGTGTGCGCGCGCCGGCCGCCGGGGCGCAGTGTGCGCGCGCGCCGGCCGCCCCGGAGCGGCGCGTCGGTCACCGGGGGGCCATTTGGGCCGCCGGCCGGCGGGTGCGTATTATTTAGGCCAGGGTTCATAATGTCCAGGGTACGATGTGTCCAGTGCTCGAAATGGCCAGTGCCTTGAATTGGCCAGTGTTCATATTGTCCAGGGTTTGCATGGTCCAAATGTGGCCAACTGGCTGCAGATAGGGTAAATTCAAAGAGGCCAAGGTTCATAATGTCCAGGGAACGATGTGTCCAGTGCTCGAAATGGCCAGGGTTCATAATGTCCAGGGCACGATGTGTCCAGTGTTCGAAATGGCCAGGGTTCATAATGTCCAGGGCACGATGTGTCCAGTGTTCAAAATGGCCAGTGCCTTGAATTGGCCAGAGTTCAGGAACGAAACCTAACCTAACCTAACCTAACCTAACCTAACCTAACCTAACCTAACCTAACCTAAGGTAATGATGTTTGCCTACCGGAGATAAGGAAATAGTTTCTCGCATGAATAGATTGCAAGCAATAGTAAATCAAATATTTTTAGGTTAAGTGGTTATGCATCAGGCTTCAGGCCAGGGGCGGATCCAGCATTTTGCCAAGGGAGGGGCTATTCCGAATCGGGGGCCCCCCATCGATGGGGGCCCTACCTACCCCCAAAAGTTTAAGCCTGGATTTCGTCCACTTTATTTTTGGGGGCCCCCTATCATGCTTTTTTTTGCAAAAAAAAAAAGAAAATGAGAAAGTCGCCCGGGGGGGGGGCGCTATAGTCCCTATCGCCCCCCCCTGGATCCGCCCCTGCTAGGAGGCCTTGTATGTGAACTAGGAAGCCCTCTGTGATAGCTAGGAGGCCCTCTGTGCAGATGCGAGCGCAGGCCCTCAGTACAGACTTGGAGACCCTTTGTGTGGATGCGAGTGGAGGCCCTCTGTGGAGATTAAGAGGTCCTGTGTTGGCGAAGAGGATATCTGTGCAGGTTTGGAGTCCCTCTGTGCAGAATAGGAGACCTTCTGTGTGAGTTAGGAGGCCCTCTGTGTTGGCTAGGAGGCCCTTTGTTCGGATGCGAGTGGAGGCCTCTGTGTAGGCTAAGAGATTTTGTGTTTGTTAGGACATCTGTGCAGGCTTGGAGGCCCTCTGTGCAGGTTAGGAGGCCCTGTAAAAGTGGTCATCTCTGTGAGTATAAGAGACCTCCAAGTTATGAAAAGCTTTACCAATCTTCTAACAAAGAAGTCTTCTCAGCTAGTCTTCTAAGAAATAACTAAGTGGGTAGGTTAAAAAAAAAACTCATCGGATTTCGGCCACTTTATTTTCAGGAGGCCCCCCCCCTTTTCAGCTTTTTAACTTTTTATTTTATTTTTGAAAAAAAAAATCGGCCAAGGGGGGGCCATGGCCCCCATGGCCCCCCTTGTATCCGCGCCTGCTTCAGGCCTTCGGCCTGAAGCCTGATGCATAACCACTTAACCTAAAAATATTTGATTTACTATTGCCTGTAATCTCTCCTAAGGCATTGCCTTCGGCACTGCACTGCTTCGCATTGAGCTGGTTCCGTGTTTTTACATAATGACGTCACTTTCAATGACTATGTAATCCCTGGACATTATGAACTCTGGCCCATTCAAGGCACTGGCCATTTTGAACACTGGACACATCGTTCCCTGGACATTATGAACCCTGGCCATTTCGAACACTGGACACATCGTGTCCTGGACATTATGAACCCTGGCCATTTCGAACACTGGACACATCGTGCCCTGGACATTATGAACCCTGGCCTCTTTGAATATACCCTATCTGCAGCCAGTTGGCCGCATTTGGACCATGCAATCCCTGGACATTATGAACTCTGGCCTATTCAAGGCACTGGCCATTTCGACACTGGGCATATCGTACCCTGGACATTATGAACCCTGGCCAGAGTTAATGTTCCCCCCGGCCGGCACCGGCAAACACTGCCGCCGTCGGCAGTTTTTGCCTCTCGGGGGACTCGGACGACCAGTATTTACACACCTTGGCGAAACAAAATATGTTTTGTCCGCGGTGGGTCGGCCGGTTCCCGTGGGCGCCGTGAGCGAGCATTAGCCGAGCGGGCCGCCCGAGAGTGGCTGGTGCCGGCCGGCTCCGCACCACGGCGCTAGTGTCGCCGCCCTGAGACACAGGAGGAGGGATGTGTTGGAGTCTTCATCCTTTACCATAGTTGTCAAGAGACTTCTGATGTTTTGTTTCGTAATGTTTCCTGTCAACAAGCAACAGGAACATCATTCCTTATGTTTTGTGTATTCGAAACGATTTTATTTAGGAAGTGGCTCCGCCCGCAAGATAATTTTGATGCGTTTAAAGATAATCCCTATTCAGCTATATTCTATGAGCTGGAGTTGATTGTTGATGTTGACAAAATGTGACATGGTGGTGTGTCTTGCATGGGTTGCATAATGTAACCTCGACATCGCTGTGTTCCGTTGTGCTGGTTCGTGCTCGACCAAACCGAAGCCGCTCAACACCACAAAGCTGGTCTGTCCCTCCTGTCACCTGTAATGCAGAATCGAATCATGGGTTCAACACTCCACTGCAAGAGAGCGAGATCCAACATTGGAATACCTATTTATATACACTGTGGGAATACCTACAGGCTACAACTGATCTCGTTAGGCCTATTGAGGGCCTGTGGATTTCCCATGGCAACTAAGTCTTGGTTATCATGATTTTCATCTGCAATGGAGTCTATTCCCGTTTTTCCCGTACCACTTGCCAGAAACTGAGCCAAACTCACTGGTGGTAATTGGCCGTTGTCCGCTACATTCAGTGCAGTCTCTTCGTCTGGTATGTAGGTAGTAGAGATGTCAATCGGATACAGACTTTTTAGTTTTTGGTATACCGATACCAAACCGATACCAACTTGGTATCTGGTATTTCAATCCTAATGTGTTTGGTATTTTGTTGGTATCATGAGCCCCCACTAATGTATAAGAGGCTAAGAAATCGGTAAAAAGTTGGTATTTCCCTTATGTTCCCAAGTTGGTTTGGTTTCGGTATTTCTCCACGTTTATGGTTGGCATTTGGTTTGGTATCGATCGGTATTCCGATTTTCCGTAACTGACTTCACTAGTAGGTAGCATTGTTTTGTTCCGTGCCTTCTCGTTCTCTTCCGACCCGTGTGACCCTTCCCTCGTCCCGCATGACCCCGCCCTTACAGTCATTTCCACACGCGTTTGGCCGTACACCAAGCGATCGATTTTATACGATGACTCATTTACGTCGGCATCCTAACCTCCAACTTCACCTGCAACTGGGTCTCGGGTAAACCGAACGGTGTCCCGGCAGCTAACCGGCTGCGACTGACCGGTACGGTGCGTTGTACCTCCAGGCGGGCTGGGCGGCCGGTACCTCGGAGCAGTACGCCTGGGCGGCCGGTACCTCCCGGCACTAGCTGCGGGCGGCTGGCCGCTCGGAGCGGTACGCCGGGGCGGCCGGTACCTCCCGGCAGTAGCTGTGGGCGGCCAGTACCTCCGTGCAGCGCGCCGGGGCGGCCGGCGGCTCTGCGCGGCGCTGTTGTCGGCGCCGGCGGCTCCCCGGGGCGTCGTGGCGGCGGGCCGGGACCGGGGCCGCTGTGCGCCGCCAGCGCCGCTCTCGTTGTTCGCGACGCCTCCGCCGGGAGCCAGAATTATAGCTGCCCGGGCGCGGCCGTAATTTTCTACTTTCGACCGAGTGCACCCGGGGGGCCGCGCTGAAATGTGCCGAACCCCCGCGGCGCTCGTGCCCAGCCTCGCCGGAGCGGCGGCCTTCAAGAAATGACCACTTCCACCGGAGGAGAAATTAAATTCGCCTCAGCCGTCGGGATGCGGCCATAAAGCGGGTGCGCTCAAATAAACCGAGCTGCCGGCTGATGGATCCGCCGCCGCCGCCGTCTTCGGCCGCTAATGGAATGACCCGATAAAGGTCGCGCCCCTGACGCCACCCTTTGGCCGCCCCCGGGGTCAGGCGGCGCGGTGCCACCCCAGGTGTCGCCGGCTCACCGGTGGCGACCACTGGTCACAGGGACGATCGGCGCTGGGGGCATCGGTGACGACAGCTCCCTGGATACATCAGACAGTCAAGTACTACAGCTTGAGCCACTTCCTACCAGTCGGTCCGATCAGGGTGGACGGGTCCGCGGTCCAACGATATCGATGACTCGATTGTGACCGCTACTTCCCCTGTGGGTGCTGTGGCCGTCCCTCAGACGTCCGTTACTTCCCCTGTGGGTGCCGTGCGTCAGACGGGTGGCCCTTCCCTGCGGGTGCCGTCTTTCAGACGAGACGGGAGGACCCGGTGGAGTGGTTTTGCGCTCCCCTCTCAGCTGTGGCGCTGTCTTGTCGTGCCGTGTCTGTTCTGAGACATTGTTGTGATTGTCTGCTGGATTTTGTGGTCACCGGTCACTGGTCACTGGTCATCGGTCACTGACCACTGCAGGATAACAGAGGGTGCTGACTGCTGGGCCTAACGGCGAATGCTTCAGGCTGCTTGCTGCTCGTCTCGTCACTGCCTGTCAGTGAAATCGCCACCAGCTTGACGATACTCCACTACTCATGACCGATTCTCACGTCGTGCCGGTGTGATAGCCTTTTACGTGAGCATGTGTACAAAGAAAAGTTCGTATGTTTTTGATATTTTCGTTTTGTTGTAAAGGTTTAATACGACCTCGTGTTATCCATAGTCGTTGAATCTTTGTTATGTAAGCGTTCAGACATTTCGCAAGCGAAGCTGGTCAAAGTTGTTTATTCGTGGTTAGTTCAGAGTTGACTGTTGTTCATCAACTTTTGACATGACTGAAATCTCCGTCGTAAAACTTTCTGGAAGATTGCTGACCCCAGATTGAGCTATTATTGCTCACCTGCTGTCCCCACCTCCGCCTCAGGGCACGGCGGGGGTCCGGTCGGGGGGGGGGGCAGCCCTGCCCGAGTCTCACCTGAGGGGCGGGACCGGCCCCGCGCTCCTCCCCGTGCTGCGCTCCGGGCCCCACTCCGGTGTCGGCTCCGAGCTCGGCCCGTATCACGTGTCGGAGATAACGAGCTGCCAGCGCCGCTCGGGCTCGGCCGGCTCCCGGCGGCCAGTTCGGGCCGGCAACGGGCCTCCCGAGAGCCGCCACCAATTACAACTTTAGTCTTAACACCGCGCTGAAGGTGCCCGCCCGGCATGCGTCTCCTGCGACGGCGCTCCCCGGACGGAGATTCCTCCGATCCGCCGCCAGCCAAGTGGCACGCTAGAGAAATTTGCCGTAATTAAAATGCATAGGCGCGCGGCGCGGCCGACGTGAAAAGGTGGCGACTCAGCCCCCGCCGGCCGTCTTGGCATGCGCTGTGCCCGGGGCGGTCTGTCATGGTCATGGGACGCTGGTGTCCCTCGGGGGGGGGGGGGAGGCTGACACAGACAGACACCTCCTGGCAACACTCAGTGGAGGGACGCAGCAGAGGCGTGATGCATGTGTGCTGTCACATGTTTAAGTTCGAAATACTCGACGGCCTTGGTCGCTGATCATTTATTTCCCATTTTTTATGCAATACCAATGGCAGTCAGACCAGCAGGCTGGCGGTCGTGGGTCCATTCCAGCCCTCGGACGGTAGTTTTGCTTCCCCACCTACCTTATTCCATGCCGAACGGCAGAGGACCCGTACTTGCTTATTTTTCTGTCACTAGATGTCGCTGGTAGTCGGCGCCTGAAGTTAGGCTGTACCGCACGGCACGACTGCCGCGGCCGCGTCGTGCGGGGGATACGCGCCTTCAGGATAAACGGACATATGTTCTTAACTGATGTTTCTGCCGTTTTGCATGAGTTTCGTCACTTCCTGACATTACCTTCTTTGTGTGTTGTGTCCGATGACATTGGTCTTATGTTTTATTTCTACTTATGATATTTGTGGCGTACATACCTTGGACTTGAGACCGTCACCTGTGTCGGTATACCGAAGACAAGATGCGAGTCCTAATTGATGTGACTTGTCTTGAGGAGCGTTGACATTGCCGACCGCTGACCTTGACCTATGTCACGGGGACCGGGGCGATGCCTTTGACCGATGTCACGGGGGCCTGCTGCTGACCTTGACCTAGGCTAGGCTATGTCACGGACCGGACGCTGACCTTGACCGGCGCCTCGGGGCCCGGTCGCGGCGGCTGGGGAAGCAGGAGCGGGTCTCGCGCCAGCTCTGGGCCGGTGAGCTCCCATTTCGCTCCGCAGCTACATTATGTTTTGAATTTTCGAGCGGCGCGCCGCCTTCTCCGCTGGGACGGCGGCGCGGCCCTGTTTTCCCAGCGGGCCGCCGTCGCCATGGCAACGCGAGGAATTCATTTTCAACGTTAGCACGGGAAGGGACGACGGCGTCTCCGGGGGCCGGCGGGCCGGGGCGGGGCCGGCGGAGGCACGCAGCACGGGGAGCCCCCTGGGACGGGAGCTGCTCGGCGCCAGAGTGGCCGGGGACCGGCCGGCCGGCCGCCGCGCCGCGCCGCCTGACCGGGATTGGGCCGACAGGAGCGGTCCAGGATTGGACGGACAGGAGCAGCCAGTCCGGCCCGGATTGGACAGACACGATCTAAAGCTAAATAATGAGTTATTCAGCCCGCACTTCCCCCCCCCCCCCAACCCTGAGTCACCCTTTCTGGGAACAATCCATCCAAGGACAGTTTATCCCTGCGCTGCAATGTGGCGGCTGATCAGTTGAATACCCAGCCACTGCGCTGCAGCGGACGGTCCGGCTGTCAGCAGTGTCCTCCGGGGCCGGGAACTGCCGGGAAGTGTCCTCTGCGGCCGAAAACTGCCGACATGGCCAGCTCGTCCGTCACCGGCTGTCGGGACGGCGCTCCCGGGGCGGCGCTGTCGGCGACTGCGGGTCACAGAGGTCAAATGTGGGGTCACCTGACCGCAGATCAGAGGTTCAGGTCGCAGAGGTCAAATGTGGGGTCACTGTCGGTGACTACAGTCACAGGGGTCAAATTTGGGGGCACCCGACCACAGCTGAGCGGTACAGGACCACAGAAGTCACACTGGGGGTCACCGTCGGCATCTTCAGCTCACTTTAGTTCAAAGGTGGAAGCTCGCATGGCTTGCGGGTGAGAGGTGCTGCTGTCCTCATTTCGAATTTGCCGCTATCGAATTGCGTTGAGCTGAAACTGGCGCCCTCAGAGGAGGTCTTTAGGCACGCCGAGCAGAAATCCCAGACTTCCAATCATGCGCGATAAGTGAGTCTAATTTGGTATGTCGTGACCCAGGTTATGCATTGATGACCTCCAGGGAACCACCGATGGTTAATGGACCGTTTGGACGTCCAATCAGCTCATCTGCAAACATACCGCGCCCATCTGCAGGCATTACCGGTGACGAAAATGATTTCATAACATGAATCTCATCCTTCCAGGCTCCAGCTGAGGACATCTGGCCCTCGACGACTCCCCTCCCCTTCCTGCAGCCGGGCCGCCCGCTCAACCCGTGGTCCAGTCTGGGCCAACTGATTGATCCTCGGTGGCGATTCGTTCATGCATGTTTAATCGGAACGCGGGTAAATTTGAGCGCACATCGCCGGCCGGGCGGCGGCGGTCGACGGGCTCCCCTGGGCGCCCTGTTCCCGCTCCGCCATGATTAATTTCCTGGAAAATGGCCGATTTGGCCCGTCTAATGCCGGGCGGGACAATTGGAACATCATTGATTGCGGCCGCGGCGGTGTGGAGTGGTGACGGTCGTCCCAGTGGTGCTGGTGAGCTGAGTGGTGACTGGAAATGGTCGGTTATGTGGTGCTGACACTGGTGTTGGTGCTAGTGGTAGTGCCAAGTGAAAACCAGTTGTCGGATGGACGGTCTTGAGACGCCGATCCTAGAGACTGGGGTTACTATCAGAGGGACATTGAGACTAGACGGTAACAATGAATTCTTGGCTAAGGTGGTAACAGTGGGGGCAGAGATAGAATAGCGTCGGTCAGACCTCGCGAGAGTCTAAGGTTTCCCGTTACGTACAGTTCTGTTACGAAGGGAGGGCTCGCTCGGCCGCTGACCCGAAGTCATTAGCGTGTTCAATCGATCCTGCAATGATGAACGCGACAAGTGGGGCTCGACCCGCCGGGACCCTTCGATCGAAATGGCCACTAAGGTTTCAACGCTTTATGGTCTGATGCTGGGTGGGACGATTGTTCTGCTGCGGGAGCTGGCTTAATTTCTGTGGTTCCTTGACTAACTACCAGAAAATGATCTGAGCAACATGAGAACTCTGGTTACATGGGTTTCTACGCTATACGTCTATGACATTTTTTATTCATACCTAATCAGGCGCATGGTGAAAATGGGCTCGAGACGAAAAAATGATGGTGTCGTGTATTGATTTTCAGACGCTTCCAATGTCCATTTATTTCCACCGCTGTTTTTGTTTGCCTCTCGAGCACCCATTTATCCACGTCCCGTCTGTTGCAC